CCTCCTTTATTGTTGCTAAATCCATTATAGATTTCAATGTCCTCCCTCACTGCAAGACGTTCAAAATTGGCACATTCTCTCATGTCATCTTGTAATAAACAATTTATAACAAATAAGTCTATATCCTACACCAAAAACAGTAAAACAAAATCAATTAAAAGTTAGAGTATAATACCAAAAACACAATAGCGCAATATGTTTGCAAAATGGAGGCTCAAACCACTAGCGATGCGCAAGGAAGCAAAGATGCTAGAGAGATTTGAAAGACAGTAAAATAAAGAAATGACAAAGAAGAAGGAGGAGACGCGTTTTTATTATATTCTACATATTACACACCGATTTTTGTATCTGTAAGTGCATTGATTAAACCTAGCATTTTATTAATTGACTTATAGACGGAAAAATCTGTTTGTAACTCCATTCATGGAATGTTGTGTTTCATTTATGCAATTACAGACAGAAAATTCAGTCAGTAAATATGTCTATGATATACAGAAAGAAAAACAATTATCTATCTTTACAGATAGATTTTACAAATAGATTTTTTCGGTCTATAATACAGAAGGGTTTATCCAAAGATTTAAAAAATATAATTTTTTGATTTTTCATTAGTAAATTTGTCTGTATTATAGACAAAAGAAATTTTCTGTAAAAATTCATCTGTAATTTGCGTATTTCTAGTAATGGAATTTAATTTTAATACAATATGAATGTAAAAAAATTATATTATTAATTTATTAAATATATAAAAATACAATTTTATATTAATTACTATAACTTTTTTAATACAATAATTTAGTAATAGTATAAAAAATATTTATAGTATAATTTATTGAATTTAAAACTAGTATTAAACCAAATCTAAAATTTAAAATCAAATTTAAACCAATTTTGAAAAAAAAAGATTAGGTTAATTTAAAATTCAATCTATATAATTGAATTTAAGATAGATTTGGTTTGGTTTTAAATAAATCTAATCTATGCCCACCCCTAGCCATAGAGGTAGCTACACACTAGTAGAATCTGTAAAGATTCCACAATAAGGAATCGATTGCTAGTCCAAGTAATAAAGGTATTTTTCCTAATTCATCATAGCTTTCTGAGTTGGCATCGCCCAAAGTGCCGCATGCTTTAATATTGTAAAGCTTTTTGTGAGAAGTGATCAAGTCATTGATACTACTACAATTCATATGATAACTAAGCACTAGGAAAAATAGTTTTATGACATAATGGGAAAGGAAAATATACTAGAGGTTACGTCGACATTGGTTGGTGATTATTTTTATCATTTGTGTAATTATAGCTCCTTAATTACTTTAAGTTCATTTTCTTATTTAATGCATTTTCATTCTTCTTTTTCACTACAAGATATATGTGTGAAGCTTACTTGCATGGGAAAAATAAGGCAAGTAGATTTTTATTTATATATATATGTATGAAATGGACGAAAAGCTCAATCGTACTCCATATCAACATATAGCTAAAATGTTGAAGCATTATATGGGTGAAGATCACTTGGTTTTTGCACCTTACAATGTTGGGTAAGTCATTCTTATGAGTATGTAACTTTGTTTTATAAGTTTCGCAATCAATTTTTATTATTGTATTTAACTTAAACATATATATTCACTATTGGTAGACAATATTGGGTCCTAGTTACGATTAACACCTTTGATAAGATAATATATTATATGAATCTGTTACGCAAACAGCTTAAGAACAAAATAAATATGCAGAACCTATTTAATAAGTAAGCATGAATGTATTTCAATAGTCTATTATATATGAATGTGGTTGAAATGTAACTTAATTCTTTCATCTACCATTGTTAGTGATCTTATTACATATCGAGCAAAGAGACAAGTGCAGTCCTGCAAGACAAAGATGCATTAAACAAGATGGGTCACTGTATATATATATATATATATATATATATATATATATATATATGATAAAAAAACCCTTTTTACTTGTAACTTATTACACTATATATAATTTTCTGTTAATTTTGGTTCTTTTTTTTTTTGTTCCACAAAGTGTCCTAAGTAAAGAAATAATGATGATTGTGGATATTATGTGTATCTCTTCATTGGAGATACTTTGCACCATGGACTAGCTACCATTCTAGTTAATGTAAGAGGATTCCATATCCAAAATCACGTAATCATTTCTATTTCTTCTAATTAAGCGTGTCTGCTTATTTTGTTTATATTTAACTTAACTAAGCTTTGTGTTTTGCTATTTTGTCTTCAGTATTTTTCAAAGTTCTAGATCTCAACCTTTCTTGACAATAGAATTCATCAAGTACAAAAGGAGTTGTGTACATAACTATACTATAGATATCTAAAGGACTCATTAAACACAATAGATTCTTAGTGCAATTTTACAAAAACTAGTCATCAAATGTACATACTTAAGGGAAAAGTGTATAGATTGTTTTTCAATTATTGCTATGGTTTAATGTAATTGTAATCAAAGGTGGCTTTTTTTGTGTATTGTTTTGTTGCTTTGGGATATTCAATTGTTTCCAATTTGATTTGATAATTGATTGATAAATGTAATGTGCATTTGCATTGAAATTCTAATATATCGCTATGTGTTTCCATTTCTATTATGTTTGCACTATTTTTTAGTAATATATGATTTATTAAATATGTTAAAATTTGAAATAATGTCAGATTTATTAAAAATCTGACAAAATTATCCTAAATTTAAGAGAGCAATTTTAGAAGTGGAGTTTAGAGAGCAGGTGAAACTGCTCTCAGAAGTGTGAGATTGGAGAGTAGTTCCATTTTGAACTGCTCTCTATGCTAAAGTTTCTAAGAGCAATTTCATGTGAAATCGTTCTACAAAGTGTGAAGTTTGGATAGCGGTTACACATGAAACTGCTTTCTAAACATAACTTTTGAAAGCAGTTTAACATAGAATTGCTCTTTAATATCAATATTTGACAACGATTATTTAACTATTCTCTTAAATTTAACACATTAAATAATACAAGATTTTACAACAGTTTTAGAGGTTCTCTAAATTAAAACAGAACTGTTCTCAGTAGTTTTAACAATGTCACCTAATTTGATTTGCTAAATGTAGGTAGATTATAACTAAATTATTTAACACCTATACATATTATATTCTGTCAGTTTGGCCTAGAAAGAGAAAGATCTAGAACAAAAGAAAATAATTTACCCTTGAAATTATTATTAATTCTAGAACAATTCGCCCCTCAATATTATTACACTATACAACTATATTATTGTTATTTTCTAGATCTGTGAAGGATATTTATATTTTGTTATTGTTTTACAGATTATGTTGGAAAGAAGTATGGACAGGATGCTTAATTTATTTTGTTATTGTTATTGTTTTATCGGCTATATTTTGTTATTGTTATTGATTCAAATGCTTACTTTAGCATATTTTAATTTATTTTAAAAATTTGAAACTTTTTAGACATTATATTTCATTTGTTATCATTTATATGTTTATTCCATACATAAAGTTTTTGCACTTTGTTATATATTCTATAATATTTTAACTAATGTAATTATGTTTACTTTACTTCTTTCAAAGTATTTTTATTGTAACTGTGTGAATTTAAATGCCTTATTATCGGTCCAAATACGTTTTATTCAACTGAATAGAGGGAAAAAAAGGGGAAAAAAATATGTTTAATAAACTGCGGTGATCTAATTTACTTTACTTTTAAAAATTAAACCGCAACTAAATTTACAACCACAAATCTAATTTAATTAGCGATAGACTTAGCAACCATTATGAATTAATCATTTAGCGACTGAACCATTTAAATCAGTTATAAAATTAGTTTTTGAAAAAGTTTCCAACTACTATATTATTACAACAACAAAAATTATCAATTTGTTATTGAATGATTGGGTTGTCAAATTATTAAATTAAACCAATCACAAATTTGGTCACTAAATTGATTGCAAACTAATTTAACAACTAAATGAGAACTAAAGGAAGGTTTCTTTTTGTTATTGACTTTTTTAGTCATTAATTAACTTATTTATAGTTAGGGACTAATTTGATTGTTCAAATCTTTGTTGAACTTATTTAATGATATATATACTTGATAATACTTAAAATATTATTAATACTATATTTGATATATTATTTGATAATACTTAAAATATTATTAATACTATATTTGATATATTAATATATCAAATATTTTTCCCCCAATGATAGTACTTCATATATTTTGTTTGTGAATAAGTGATAATTTTTAATAATAAAATAATATATAATATGTAATTCAAAATATTATAATTACAAACATAAATGATGATGCACAACACCTCTCTAGTCACCATATAATTAGGTAAGATTATCATCATACGGCCAAGGACACAAAAATAGTCAAACAATGCTAACCTCATTACCATATGTTTGGTTGTACATGGACAAATGCCATCTAGGTCAAATGTAATGTCAAATATCATTGTTTTAATCACCTATAGTTAGTCCGTCTAATGTCTTCTTTGTAAATAAGTCATTCAGCTTCTTCGTATGATGTGAACTTTCAGGTTTGTGGGTCATTGGCCTGCATAGTTAAGTTTCCTTTACCATTTTCTATTTCAACTTATTTGACCTGTCTTCTATTTCCTTATAATTTTTTTAAGAGCAAATTACACTCACATTTCTCAAAAATAAATAAAATTTTACTTGATATTTCTATTTTTTAACTCTATATAAAGCTGTCTTAATTTATGTAATACCATAGTAATATCATAAACACAAATTTACCATTAAGTTTTTATACAGTTTTATAAATCTGGATAGATTACAGTGAAGAAAATAAAAAAGAAATTGAGCTAGTGAAATTTTGTGAAATCTAATACTTTTTTAATAATTAATTAATTTATCCTATTTTTATTTGAGTCCTTGTTTTCCCGAAGCTCTATATATTGCCAATGGAATTCTTGGTATCGAATCACATCTAAGTTCTAGTGGAAGCTAAACAAGTGAGAGGCAAAATGGCAATCAACTCAAGGACTCAAACTGAAAGCCTCGTGTCTGTTCTCACGATCATAATTTCCTTCGTTATGTTGACCCAAACTGTGAAGTCAGTTTCTTTCACATTCCCTAGTTTTGGGTCATACACAAATCAAAATGACATTACTTTCCAAGGAGACACCTCTCTTGTAAGAGGAGCTATAGAGCTTACAGGTGCGGCACCTAAAAGCGCTGGTAGAGCCTCTTATGCTGCACCTGTGCAACTTTGGGATGCCAAAACTGGCAAGCTTGCAAGCTTCACCACTTCCTTCTCTTTTGTTGTTGCACCAAATGGTCCTGGACTCTTTGGTGATGGCATCGCCTTCTTCATTGCTCCATTCAACTCTAACATCCCCCAAAATTCAAGTGGTGGATTCCTTGGACTCTTCAGCGCTAACACTGCTTTAAATGCATACCAAAATCAATTAGTTGCTGTAGAATTTGACTCCTTTCCTGGGAACCCATGGGATCCTTCCTATTCACATGTAGGCATTGACGTTAATTCCATTGCTTCAGTGACAACAACCAAATGGGAAGCTGGAAATGACGAAAATGGGTTTATTGCCTTTGCTACTGTGAACTATGAACCTATAACAAAAAATTTAAGTGTACTTGTGAGCTACCCTCATAGCTATGTCAACGGTACTTCAAGTAGCCTTTCATTTGCAATTGATTTGAGGACTATTCTACCTGAATGGGTTCGAATTGGTTTCTCTGGTGCTACGGGACAGTTGGTTGAAATACACAAGATTCATTCTTGGACTTTCAGTTCTAATTTGTATTAGAACGACGATGTCTCTTCAACTGGAGAACTCACAAGAGCTACTTGGTTTCTGAATAAAACAAATGCTATTTAGCATTAGTTGCTAATTTAATCATTTCTTTGTTCTGTTTTATGTAGTTCGGTAATCTTGATCGTTGTGTTTCATTAATAAATTCAATATTTAATGAAGTTTAATTGCGTGATTTGTTGTTACAATTCTAAACATTAGCAAGTGCATTAGGAATTGCAGAAAGTAATCAGTAATTTTTAAGATCAGAGTATCGTCTCCACATGAAATTAAGAAATTAATTATCAATTCACAGAACAATAACTAGTTGAGCTATAAGAATTTCCAAGAGTTGTAACATTCAAAAAACAAGAAACAAGAACAATTAAAAGGTAAAGAACTTGTAGAAAAAAGATTACAGAATTTGATGTTGAGATTAGAAATGGATGAATGATAGTTAGGAATTTATTTCACAAGAATATCAATATCAATTCAATTATGCCTCTGAACATTCAAACAATTAGTTAATTGAAAGTCAGTTTCTCTTATTAATAGTCAAAGTTTAATCCCTTAAATCATTGACCCTAACGAGTAACTAAATCACCCTAATCCCTTTGATAAAGTTCAATTTCAAGTTGCATTAAGACTTAGAACCGTAGGATTGCAGGATTAAGTTTCCTTATCCCTAAGAAATCCCTAATTCTAGTTACTAATTCAGATTGGAAAAACAAACTCAACTTCCATTGACAAATGTTCCTCTTTGATTAATCATACGAATTCCCATTCAAAGATTGCAATGACAACAAAATTAACAACTTAATTAATCCAAGAACTCAAATTTCAGAAGCAAGAAGCGAATCAATACATCAATTTAAGGTTCATAAACTCCTAACTACGAAAAATTAAGCAAACATTGTAACAGAAAAAGAGAAAGAAGGAGAAGAAGAGAAGAAACTCAGAGAAGTCATCTTCACGAGCTCCAATCCAATTCCTCTTCTTGGAGCTTCGAGGTTCAACCCTAATCCTCTCTCTCACTCTCTCTCAATGAGAATCTAACAGAAAAAACAGAAAATGAACAAAAGACCCCAAAAATCTGAGCATTTCTGGTATTTATAGAAATTTCCGATTCTATGCATTATCACTCTTGCTAATAAGAGTGACAACGTAGGAGGTCAAGTAGTGCGCGTGTTCACTTTCACCAGCAAGAGTGACCACAGGCTAATTGCCTTGGAACACTTCTCTCTGAAACATCCACTTTCGCCAGCAAGAGTAACCACGCAGAGCTTTGCTGAGATTGAAGTCCTCTGAAACGCTCACTTTCGCCAGCAAGAGTGGTAACGCGCTACTCGTTGTGATTGAGCTTCTCTGGCACATTCACTTTCACCAGTGAAAGTGACAGCGCACAGGCTGTGTGTTCACTTTCACCAACGAAAGTGATAACGCCCAACACATCTTCATCAATTATTGTTCCTTATCTCCAGATTTGCTACTTTTCTTCTATCTTTCTCTCTTAATCCTCAACCTTATGATCTCAACTCAAAGTTTCTTGCAAAATATGTTCTAATTAGTACTTTTTACATAGAAAATTCACAAAATCTAAACAATTAAACTATTTAGAAATAAATTGAACATTCTATTATTTTTATGAGTTTTTTAGCTCTTTCCATCATGTTTTTCATATCAAATGTATTAAAAATTAAGGTAAAATACTAGTAAAATCTGCATTTATTATGATTAGTAATACATTTTTTGTATTCTCAACAACGCATTATAAAAAGTTAAAAAGTAATATTTTTTCAAAAGATTATAATTTTAATTGATTTAATTATGATTTTAATACCGTAAAAGTAACATTATTTGAAATTAATTCTTAAAAAAATGGTTAAAATTTAATCTTAATATTTTTAAAATATTTAAAATTAGTCGCTGTAATTAATTTTCTTTTATTAAATGATAAACCAAATAATAGAAGTCCATTATCTCATCAAATGTTTTAAATGCCTTAGAAGCACATCCATCCAAGCCAAGACTCAAAATGACTGGATTATTAGAAATCACATTTGTTCGCATTATCCTAAAAATAATGATTCTCAAGCTCAAAAAACCACACTTCGAATACATCTCTATGAGAGCAGAAGAGACTTTGACCACTAACACTAATCCATGCTGAAGAACATAACCATGCATCTCAAATTCTAGTCTACATTCGTAGTCTATGCTACATCGGCAATTATAACGCATGAACTGCTTTGCCAAGGTGATTGTTTATTTCCTTGCTTGGGTATTGAAAAAGTAAAATAGAAAAAAAATAATTCAAAAAGTAATAAACACAAACAAATGATAAACAAAAAGGGAAAATAGCACCCACAGGACCAAAACCACACAAGTACACAACCAAAACCAAACGATTACTTCTCTCTGAATGACTCCGTTTGAACATCTTCCGCAACCGCGCAATACTCTTCTTTCGCTTCCTTCCCACATACATCCCACCCCTGAGAGGAGTAGGATGTCACCGGAAATGACATCGTCGAGTGGTCCGGAGATCGCGCCGCTTTCAATTGGACTGAAGAGGAAGAAGGCCCTTCGCTCCATCTCAGGCTCAGCTCCTCGAGGCACTGGCTGAAGCGAAAAAGCACTAAACAACGACATAACTTTGAAGCCATTTAGAATAGTATCCCATGCAAAGCTGTTGTGGGAGTGAAACGGTTAGCACTGACAAATGCACCAGAAATGGCCTTGAATGCAGTTTTGGGAAAATCTGGTCAGTGAGTGGGAGAAAAGCCATCGAAGAAGAAAGTAACCATTTTAAGTTTGAGAGAGAGGATGAAAATGACTTTAAGTTTTCATGCAAAATTTGTTAGTTACTATAGTTGTCCAAATCTAGGTGCCGATCAGATCATGCCAGCTAATAGTTTTGGCTAGAAAATGGAGCATCAATTCAAGGTATGCGAAAGGGATTTATTAGGGTTCATTATTCTAATGGGCCTAAACTTGATTTCTATTTATTAAGTTTATATTATTTTTAATTAATAATTTAAAGTACTTGCTGAAATTAGATAACTTATATTAAATTTATGTAAATATAAATAACTTATATAAATGTTATAAATAATATATAACTTACCTTATATTATTAAAAATATAAAATTTATAATATTAATTACAACTAATAAATAATAGCAAATAATATAAAGAGTGAAATATGATAAAAAAAAAATATTACGACTCACCTAATATCATAAAGTGTTAATATTTCAATTATATATTGATATTAGGTAGGTTGAGCTTTTCATTTAGCTCATACAAAGATATAAATGAGAATCTATTTTTCGTATTAGTGTCATGCAAGTAGACTTTATACAAATACCTTTTAAGACAAATCAACAATGTGATATTTGCTATGAAAATAAAATAACTTTAAGAAGTTATTTAATGATATAACAAATGATGGAGGCACACAATCACCGAGTGACAATAATCTCCAATAATGTTTTTCTTCCCAAATGTGTCAGTATACTCCTTTCTCCAATGCTCAATAGAAATAGGAATAAAAATTTTGTTAATAGGATGATCACTTCTCTTAACAAACTTTATGATGTCAAAACATACAACACTTTTCACTTGTGCAAACTCTACAAAGTTAGAATTAGGAACAAGCCCTCAGTAAATGGACTAGCAATGGATTCCTTAGTGTGGCCTACTTCTTTTCCATCCCTTTACTTGATGATGGTACAATCTGAAATCATTGATCTTAGATTTATAATTTATAAACAACGAATATTCTGAAGTTAATTATAAAGAAAGTTACATGAACATCATTGGTTGTAAAGTTATTTAAAACAATGGCCAGGCAATATCAGTACCTATCACATCTTTTAGGTAAACAAGGTTTTCATTATTAGATACGGGCAATGGAAACTCTTCTTGTGTTACTACGCTACCTCAATTGAGACCTTAACATGGTTTTAAAGAAAGTTCATGATGTATAAGGTGTCCCCAATCACGATACTATACATTATTCCAAGTGAGAACGATTGACAGAAATAGGAGCTTTTTGGTATGTTTTTGCTCAAGTGAAAATATCATCAAATGTGTAGAAGATTTTGTCTAGTTTTTTTTCTCTTAAGCAAGAATGGCTTCACTCAAGCAAAAATCCTCGAGAAAATTAGGTATTCAAGTAGCTTTAATATTTCAAAACTTAGATGCCAAGCAACCATTTCTCATCTTACTCTTGGATTTCTCATTTTCTTTCCACAGCTAAATCACCTTGAGAACTTCAAACTTCTCTCAAATCTAAACTTGGACATCTTTTTCACTTAATTCCAAGTAAGTTTCTTGGAGTTTAATCTTCCAATCTTACGTCTATTTCTTCATTTTTTTTTATTTCTTAAAAGTTACTCTACTTCATAATATTTAGGAAGAACTTGGTCTTTTAGACAATATCTTCCACGAATCACCTTCTTGAGGTAGGAGAGTTTTATCCCATCAATAAAGCTATACCCATATAATGAGTGTGACTATTATATATATATATATATACACACACACACACACTTGCTTCTATGAGTGGCTACATGCAGAAATCCTAGTTTTAAAATGGATTCTTTGAATTGATGAACAACATGATGCATGTTTTGTTGATCATTGAATGGATGACATTTGATTGATTAAAAATGCACGATCTGACGATATGATATGAAGGTGTCAAACCTTCAACATAATTTGTTTGACTGAATGATGATAAATAAGTGGAGGGAAAATATTTTGTCAATCAATATGATGATGAAATGAGTTAGTATTGGGAGTATAAAAGATGGAGTCGATTTTAGAAGACTGGGGAAATATAGGGTGGTGAATGCTATTCATGGTTGTACGAAATGTAATAAGAGTGAAAGCATCACAGGCCACACACTTATTTCCCACTAACACTCTTGATTATAATTTTGCTAAGAGGCCTAATATTGTATGCATTGTATCCATGTGCATTGGCTAACCAAAAATTGTTCGGTGGGCAAGTATACTCGTCGAAAAGTAATATAAGGTTATTAAATTAAGCTTCCAAAATTATCATCCCACAAGGATTAGCTCCAATTACTAAGAATTTCTTAATTCAATTTTTTGAGCCTAAAGGATGAGAAAGTAAGTAAAAATAGGAATTCAATTATAAGATTAATTATAAATAAAAGCAAATAACATAATACACATCTTGGTTAAAGTTATAGGAGAGGAACCTAGGGCATATGAGTTTTCTCATTCAATCATTTATGTTTTTTTTTTGCTTAATTATAAGTTCAATTTCCCTGTGATTACCAATCAGTCATATAATTACTATCAATACGCAATGGTCATGGAATATTAACTTTCTTTTCTCTAAACCAACATCCACAATGGTCATCTAAGATATTAATTAAAGAGCATAACAATTGGAAGAGAAAGATTAGTTTGGTCCACTTAATCCTTTGTCGTGTTTTATCTTATAGATCCATTAACTAATCAAGGTACGGTCACTTGATAATATAATTAATTAGAATTATACAAATATGTGCAATAGGATAAACACTAAACATATATGAAGATATTAATCAAGGACTAGATGTAGAATAGGATAATGAATTGTTGCTCCCAAGGTCTCTTTTTAATAGAGTTTAAAAACCCTAAAAACTCTTCATAATTGGGCTTGTCACAGATAAGGACAATCGTGCATGTGGTCGAAGCACTCCTGTGCTTGCTTTTAAAGTTTGGGCGTGCTAACTGCTGTGAAACTCTAATTTCCAATCATTTTAAGTCTAAAAAGCCTAAAAATCTAACTGTGGATTTCTTATGCTAAACTGCACAATATATATATATATATATATATATATATATATGAATTAATACAAAATCCAAATAAAATAAGGTCAAACATAAATATATGGACTATAAAAACAGACCAAAATACAGACTTATCAACAACTATTCACCTACAAGTGTAAGACCTCCTGAAATACATAAGGTAACAATTAACTGTGATTAAAATGCAGGAGGAAGTACGTACATAAAAAGAGATTGGCATATTACATTGCTTAGTTATAGTAGCTATGCTAGGAAATGGATGACATGTTTGTTATTGTGTTTGTTACTGTGAAATTTCAATTGATTATATTTTAATAGTGAGGAGAAGACTCATCCTTACTAACAATTTTAGGAAACAAAAATGATCACCCCTTAGAGACCCATTAGATTGACTGAGTGGAGTGTTGAGAGTAGAGTGAATGATGTATTTAGAGAATGGCAAATAGTTTGTCACTCTAAATTTATAATAGTTAGTGAAAATGGACCCGACGAGGTTTTTACCATAGAGATCACAATAGGGTACAATGTTCCTTTTGATTACCCTACTGGTGGTAGGATTCACCATACCTTCAGCTTATATATAGAGAGAGCGAAAGAGGAACAGTTAGAACACTAATTGCGGTGAACTATGTTTATACCTTCCATGACCACAATCATTTGGGGAAACTAGTTAGATTTATCAGAGAGCTAATAATCAGCACAAAGGTTGTAACATCCTTATTTTACTTATACAATTTAAGAAATAATTTTATATTGTAAAGAAGAATTAAATTAAGTTCACTTATATTCAAAGTGAAAAAGTTAGAAAAATTTAAAACTTTCATCCTTGTTACTCAAATTCATAAGGTTTTCCAGTAATAAGGCAATAGGGAAACAAGTAAATTTAAAGAAAAAGTTGAAGTAAAATACATGTACAGTATTGGCTTCATTAATACACACTCTGTCCTTGAATTTTATTGGTCCATTTGAATCACAATCAAACTCCAAGTTTTTGCCTTCATCCTTTTGGCACATCATCTCTTGCAAATACGGGTCCTCTTGTTGTCTAGCTTCAACTTGTATCAAAAAATCATTACTAATCTTCATGGTACTAAGACAGAGACTGTTGGATCATACTTCCATTGCTAAATTCAAATCTCTAAATTCTTCAATCAGCTTCCATTCTTTCTCCATCATAGTTCAAATGTCCAAAGACTTCCTGCTCAATGCATCTACAACTACATTTGCTTTTCCAGAGTGGTAGGAGAATATGAAGTCATAGTCTTTCAAAAACATCATACACCTTCATTGTCACATGTTCAACTCCTTTTGATCAAATAGGTACTTTCAACTCTTATGATCACTGAAGACTTCAAATCACGCTCCAAAGAGATAGTGTCTCTAAATCTTTAGTGCAAAAACTACTGCTGCTTGCTCCAAGTCATGCATAGGGTAGTTGACTTAATATGGTCGCAATTGCATCAATACACATCCTAATCCTTGTCTCGATGCATCACAATATACCTTAAATTTCTGTTCGGGATCTGGCAAAATCAACATAGGTGCTTATGTCAATTTTTCCTTCAGTTTCTAAAAACTTGTTTTGCACTTTTCATTCTATCAAAGTCTTTCCCTTTTTGCATCAGCTTCGTCAAAAGCAATGTTATCTTAAAAAATCTTTCAATGAATTTTCTATAATAGCTGACAAATCCTATAAAACTTTGGATCTCTATTTGTGTTGTAGGTCTTGACCATTGAACTATTGCTTCTACCTTTATTGAGTCAACCATGATTCTTTCTTTAGATACTACGTGTCCCAAGTAGGGATGGAAACAAGTCAGGCCGCCTGATAGGGGCCTGTGGCCTAGCTTGGCCTTTTTAATAAACAAACCAGGCTCAGGCCTTTTTTAAGGCCTGTTTAAGTAAACAAGTCAGGCCTGAGCTGTTTATAAAGCCTGTTAAGCCTGACAAGCTGGCCTGTATAAAAATATATATATATATATATATATATATATATTATATAATTTAAAAATAGAGCTATCAAAATATATTTAAATAATAAAGTTATTTAATAATATATTTTTATATTTTTAATTCTGTTATTATTAAATTAATATATTATGTTATAATTTTATTTATTTATAATTATAAAAAACAGAAATTATATTATATTAAAAATTAAAAATATTTATACATGATTACACTTTTTAAATAATAAATTTATTTAATAATAATATATTATATTTAAACAATTTGAAAAATAGTTAAGTCTTTGAACAAGAATAAGACATAATCAAAACTAAACGAAATAAAATTTCAAAATAAAATAATAAAATTATATTAACATATTTTTTATACTCTTAATTTTATTATTATTAATTTAATTATTTAATTATTATATTAATATATTATGTTATAATTCTTTTTATTTATAATAAATAGAGTTTGCTTAAATCTGAATTATATTTTATTTGAAAGTAAAAATTTATAAAAAAAAATGATAACAAACTAAAATAAAAAACTTATTATAATATATATTAATATATATATATATATATATATATATATATATAATCAGACCATGTAACAAATAATATAAATAATATAATTATAAATAAATTATATAATAATATATATTTTTATAACTTGCACATGTTTTAATTAAATTATTAGTCAATTTATCAATTTATATGCAATTTATAAGTATGTGTTTTAATTTATTGTATCAGTAATATTTTCTATATTACATTAATAGTTATTATTGTTTTCATTATATATATATATATATATATATATATATATATATAGTACATTAAGTTTAAATTTTTATATTAAGTTTTCTCACATATTTTTAAATTAAGATAAAAATTTAGAAATATAAGTTATTTTAATTTAAATATAAATTTTAATAATTCTTCTTATGCTCATATGTTATTTTTCTGCATCTATGAATTTTATAATATAAGTATTTATCATCTACAATTTTTATAATGACGATATTTATTTACTTTTTATAATATAATAATTTTTTTAGCTGATTCAATAAATTTTATAAGTGTTATTTTTTGTAATTATTTTTTTAATTTAATAGTTATTATTATTCTCATTATATATATATATATATATATATATATATATTGCAGTAAGTTTAAATTTTTTTCAAAACATATAATTTTCTTTTAATTGATTCAACAAACTGTGTGAATGTTATTTTTTTTTATCAATTTTATGTATTTACTATAACTTTATTTGTTGAATATAAGATGTCTTTAAATAAACAAAATATGTTTCTAAAATAAAACTAAAATATTTACTATTTATATAATTTTAAAAAATAAATAAAAAAATATAAATATAAATCTTATTAATATAAAATATTTATAATTAATACTTAAATAATATTTTAAAAATTATTTATAAAATTATATAAATATTATTATAATTATTTAATAATTATTAAGAACATAGATAGGAATTAGAAAAATGTATAAACTAATTTAATAATAAAATATTTATATTTTTATTAATATTAATTTTTTTTTAACAGGCTTCAAGCCAGGCCATGCCACTTAAACAGGCCAGGCCAGGCCTAAAATAAAGCCTTTAACAGGTAACAGGGCAGGCTCAGGCCTAATAATTATGTTTCAGGCCAGGCCTGTTTAGAGTAAAGCCTGGCCTGACCTAGCCTGTTTAGAGTAAAGTCTGGCCTGACCTGCCCTGTTTCCATCCCTAGTCCCAAGAATTATATCTACAATAGCCAAAATTTGCATTTCAAAAATTTAGCATACAATTGTCTCTCACTAAAAATCTACAAGGCAATTCTCAAGGCTCAACATGTTCTTCTCAGCTATTAGAGTAGATTAGGATGTCATCAATGAACACTACCATGAATCTATCAAAATGTTGATGGAAGATTCAATTCATGTAATCCATGAACACTGCCGAAGCGTTACTCACACCAAAAGGCATTACTAAGTACTCGTAATGGCCATAGCGAGTTCTGAATGTTGTTTTAGGAATATCTTCATTCTTCACCCGAATTTGTTGGTAGGCTGATTGCAAATCAATCTTAGAAAGTATTGAAGCTCCTCGTAGTTGATCCATTAAATCATCTATTCTGGGGAGATGATACTTATTCTTTAGGTCACTTTGTTCAATTGTTGATAATACACGCACATCCTCATACTCTCATCTTTCTTCTTCACAAAGAGTATATGAGCTCCCCACAGTAATACACTCGGTCTCACAAATTTCTTTTCCAACAAGTTTTCTACTTTCTTTTTCACTTCAGCTAACTCAATCAGCGACATTCAGTACAGCACAATAGAGATTGGGCTTGCTCCCGGCATGAGATCAATTGTGAACTCAATCTTTCTTTCTAGTGACAGTTCGGTTACATTCTTCAAAAAAAATGCTCAAGAATTCATTCACCACCTGTATATGCTTAGTCTTCACACTTTTCTCTGCCTACAAAGAAAACATCACCATGAAAGCCTTGACATTAATCATGTTCCTCGAATCACCCACACTTAGGAGTCTATAATCCTCCAAAATATTTGTCCCAAAATTTAAGATTTTCTCTTTACAATCCAATAAGACATGATTAGACGAAAATCAATCCATTCCCAGTACAATATCAAGTTGAGAAAACGGTATTCGGATTAAGTCTACTAGGAAATTTCTACCATGAATCATTACAGAACAACTTAAACATACATAAGAAGTTACAACAGGCTTATTTGTAGGACTAGACACTACCACATTATTTGACAGAGAAGAAATAGGCAATTCAAAGCAACACACACAATCCAAAAAAATAAAGGAATGTGTAGCTCTAGAGTAAAAAAGAACATCAACAAGTTTATTTTTCAGAATGCATTTGTAACATCTTAAATTTAATTCCAATTAAATAATAATTTCGCAAATCGGATAACCAAATTTTTCATAAAAGATTTTGAAATAAGTGAAGGGTTACAAATTAATATCAAATAACTGCTACAGGACTAGTTCAATTACAACATTTTTAAAATAAATTCTATGTCCTATAGCAGTCCATCCATCCCTTCACTAAGTCCGGTGCTGATCGTCTTGGTTGCCTGAAAAATGAATGTAAGGGTGAGTACTCTACACTACCCAAAAGCACATAGTCAGCATAGAGTCTCACCTCCAACACATTACCAATACATTAAGCAAATACAATCACAGGCAGCATTTCACATTCACAAGCACAATACACAAACTCGTGCATACGCACAACAGCCACACTCACTATAGTACTATGATCACAGATTTACACCATGAATGGTCGCCGGTTACCCCCGCCAGTCACGAGTCGCTTAAGAAAGATAGTGGTCAGAGGTCTAGTCAGGAAGATAGTGTGTGACCCGTGGTGCACCCGTTCCGCAGTCGGTGTCACCACCACTCCCTTTTCCCCAAGGTATTTCTACCGTCCTCATCTCCCACATCCCCAGTGTATCGTTGAACCATTCACAGCACATTACAACGACGCTAACATGCACATTCACACATATTTCATTCACGCATGTAATAGTCATGCTTACACACGCACACACCCTACAATTATCATTCATATTACAGGCCCTTGGGCCCACATTTTCACAATATTCATTCAAATATACGGCACAAGTGCCCACACTCATTCTATCACACAACATTTACATATAATCCAAATCCCTCAATTTCGTATCAACACACATTGTTCACATATCACGGCATATGGCCCACATTACATTTCTCAACAATTTCCTACCTACTAACTCAATCACAACACAATATTCAGCAGAATATCAACAATTCATGCACAAAAGAGTAGGATAGAGTCTCCCCTTACCTCAGATTGAAGACCCACACGCTAAATCCACCAAGAGATGCTCCCCCTCACGAATTTCATCCTAAACACATGGAGAAACTCCATGAGAACTCAGGGGAACCACGAAAACAGAGAAAGGGGATGAAAAACCGAAACCCTAACCATTAAAACTCACCTCCAAGCGTCCCCCACACGAATTCAACCTTCAATCAAGCTTCCGAATGGCTTTGGAGGCAATATAATCGGTGAAAAAGGGTTTGGAGATGAGAGGATCAAAAGGATTTCGAAGGGAGAGAGAGAAATAACTCTCCCCTAACCTTAACCCCCTTTAAATCCTTTTCTGGTCGCGACACTCTTGCTACAGCGAGATATTCTAGACCTCGCTGCAGCGACACGCCCTCTCGCTACAACGAAAAAACCAGAGAAAACTGCACTCTGGTTTCTGCAGAATCTCGCTACAACGAGGACCTCTCGCTACGGCGAGACTGCACCCAAAAATACACCCTAAATTGTCGCTCTGTTGCTATAGTGAGACGTTTCTCGCTACAGTGAGAAGGCGATAGTTCTGGTCCTTCCTCCCAGGACCCTCTTGCTATAGTGAGAATCCTCTCGCTGCAGCGAGAACATCCCAGTATCATGCCTTACACTTAGGCACTTAGCTGATTTCAGCCTTATCCAGTCATGCATACATGTATATACATACACACATCTCCAACATATATATATATATGCACATATATATTCACAACATATATAAAAAAAAATATACACATGAATATACATTTAGATTTATATAATTATCAATAATTAATATTACAAAATTTGGGGCGTTACAACTCTCCCCTCCTTTAAGGAATTTCATCCCCAAAATTCAACCAAACACTCACAACTACAAAAACAACCCCAGGTACAACTCTCTCATTCTACTCTCCATTTCCCATGTGGCATCTTATTCATCACTCGAGTTTCATATTACCTTCACCAGTGATATCTCTTTATCCCTCACCGGGTACACATCATATGACAAGTCTTCTCTCACTTGAACTGGGTCAAGATCTATCACATGGGAAAGATCTGGCACATATTGCCTAAGCTGTGACACATGGAACACCGGATGTAGATTTGAGAGATTTGGAGGCAATGCTATCCGATATGCAGCAGGATCAATTCTACTTAGCACTTCAAACGGCCCAATAAACTTAGGAGACAGCTTTGAGACTTCAGAGCTCTCCCCACTCCGGTTACAGGTGAGACCTTCAGAAATACGTGGTCACCCACCTGAAACTCCAACGACTTTCACCTTTTATCATAATAGCTCTTTTGCCTGTCTTGCGCAGCCTTCATTTTGTTTTTGATCATTCTGATTGCTCATTCTCTCTTTGGATCATATTCGGCGCACACAGAGTTGCCTCTCCGGTTTCATACCAACACAACGAGGTTCTGTAGCTCCGTCCATATAAGGTCTCAAACGATGCCATTCCAATACTAGCATGGTAACTGTTGTTGTACGTGAACTCCACTAGCGGCAAGCACTCTTCCTAAGTTCCCTGCTGCTCGAGCACACAAGCCCTCAACAAATCCTCCAGGGATTGGATAGTCCGTTCATTCTGACCGTCAGTCTGTGGGTGATAAGCCGAGCTCAGCCTCAACTTAGTCTCTAATACCCATTGCAGGCTTTCCCAAAACCTCGAGGTAAACCTTAGATCTCTATCTGACACCACACTAGTCGGCACTCATGTAGCCTGACTATCTCCTGCACATACAACTCCGCAAGTCACTCCAATTT